TTAGCTTGAACTCGAGCTCTGCCTGGGATCTTGGTGGGTATCAGGGCTCCTGGCTTCTTTCTTTAACTTCTCACCCAGCTGGATTCACTCCTGCTTACGGAAAGCTGACAAAAACAAAGACAACAAGATGAGCTTCAAGGAGCTGCAGAACTTCCTGAAGGAGCTTAACATCCAGGCAGAAGACAGCTATGCCCGGAAGCTCTTCCAGGTGAGGCAGCAAGTGGCGGCTGGATCTGCATGGGGGCGGTAGGCCTAGACCCTGGCCTATTCTGACCCTCCCTCCCTCACCCCACCCCTGGCTGTCCTGGCTTTGCAGGAATGTGACCGTTCCCAGACAGACTCCTTGGAGGATGAGGAGATTGAGATCTTTTATAAGATGCTGACCCAGCGGGAGGAAATCGACCTTGCCTTCACTGATGCTGCGGGCTCACGGGAGACCCTGTCAGTGGATCAGTTAGTGACGTTCCTGCAGCACCAGCAGCGGGAGGAGGCGGCGGGGCCTGCCCTGGCTCTCTCTCTCATTGAGCGCTATGAGCCCAGCGAGACTGGTGAGGACCTGGCTGGGCCTGCGACCTGCAGTCCCAGGGCCACACTGGGTTGGCGTGACCTATGAGGAGACTGCAGGCCCAGAGAGGGCAGCTGGAGGACAGTGGCTGCCTGAGCCAGCCCAGGGTTCCTGCTCTGAACTTGACCCATCCTGCAGATCCCAGCCTGGGTCCCTCCCAGACTCCCACCCCAAGAGGTGGGAGCAGACAAATGGGAGATAGGGCTCCAACATCACTGCCCCTTTCTGGACCTCAGTTTCCCTCTTGGCTCCTCCTTCAGGAGGTTTTGTGGGACCTCCCCCAAAGCAACAGAGAGAGAGGCATGTGGAAAGCAGATGCTATTCCTGCTTCCTTCTTTGTGCGCATTCTGGGCCCAGCTTCGAGACATGACAGACAGAGCAGAGAAAATGGGCCTTGCTCTGCAGGAGGGCTGTGATCTGGAGACACAAAGGAAGAGATGAGACCTTTCCATAAGTGGCTCAGAGTGTGCAGAAAGGGGAGGAGGAGGAGACAGACTCCACTCTTGGGTAGTGACAATCTGGCCGGGAGATTCAGACTTATCCCACTTCCCAGAGTTCTGGAAGACCAGCTCAGGACAGGCATCAGGGGAACAGTGGTAGATAGCCAGGAGGGGCCTGCCATTAGCTGACTCTAACAGGCTTCCTTCCTTCCAGCCAAGGCACAGCGGCAGATGACCAAGGACGGCTTTCTCATGTACCTGCTGTCAGCTGATGGTAGCGCCTTCAACCTGGCCCACCGGAGGGTCTACCAGGACATGACCCAGCCACTCAGCCACTACTTGGTGTCCTCCTCACACAACACCTACCTGCTAGAGGACCAGCTCAGAGGCCCTAGCAGCACTGAAGCCTACATCCGGTGTGGTCCAGGGAAACCTTGGGGTGGGAGCTTGGGAGGAACCCAAGGTGGGATCTGCAGGGTCCTAGCCACCACCCCTACCCACAGGGCACTCTGCAAAGGCTGCCGCTGCTTGGAGCTCGACTGCTGGGATGGGCCCAACCAGGAGCCAATCATATACCATGGCTATACTTTCACCTCCAAGATCCTCTTCTGCGATGTGCTCAGGGCCATCCGGGATTATGCCTTCAAGGTGGGCGTGATCCTGGGGGCAAGGAGTAGGATGCTGGGGGCGGCCAAGCCCTCCTAACCTGCCCTTGGGCCTCCAGGCATCCCCCTACCCTGTCATCCTGTCCCTGGAGAACCACTGCAGCCTAGAGCAGCAGCGTGTGATAGCCAGGCACCTACGGGCCATCCTGGGGCCCATGCTGTTGGACCAGCCACTGGACGGGGTCACCACCAGCCTGCCCTCACCTGAGGTATGTGGTGTAGAGGTGGTTCCCAAGGAGAAGGCAGAAGGCAAGGGACTTGCTGAGAGGCTGGGTGGGTCTTGACCAGTGGCCCCTCCATCCCTAGCAACTAAAGGGGAAGATCCTGCTAAAGGGGAAGAAGTTTGGGGGCCTCCTGCCCACTGGAGGGGAGGGCAGCCCCGAGGCAACTGTGTCAGATGAAGATGAGGCTGCTGAGATGGAGGATGAAGCAGTGAGGAGCCAAGTGCAGCACAAGTCCAAGGTCTGAGAGGGAGCAGCAGGGGTGGGGTGGGAGAGGGCTGGGCAGCCCTGGGGCCTCTCCCTTCCCACCAGCCCCCAGGACGTTGGCCTTGTCTCAGTTCTCTGTGGCTGCCACTCAGACCCTTTGCCCCCCTCTCTCTGTCTGTCTCCCTCTGTCTCTCTGTGTCTGGGTTTCTGGCTTTCTCAGTGCCTACCCTGCCCCAACCACTGAATCTAACCTGGGCCTCCCCGTGGCCCCCAGGCGGACAAGCTCAGGCTAGCACAGGAGCTCTCTGACTTGGTCATTTACTGCAAGAGTGTCCACTTTGGGGGCTTCTCCAGTTCTGCCAGCCAGAGGCAGGCTTTCTACGAGATGGTATCCTTCTCCGAGAACCGTGCCCTCCGACTGCTCCAGGAATCAGGTGAACCTCTGGCCTGCAGCTGAGGGTGCTGGCCATCTGGCTGATGGTATGGGCTGGCCACCAGTCAGGACCAGAGTGGGCACTCCCTGCTCTGTTCCCAGACAGAATGGCCAGGAAGGGGCTCAGGCCTTATCAGGAGGCCTCCGCTACTGACCATACCACACCTCTCCTCAGGAAACATCTTGGTCCGCCATAACGTGGGACACCTGAGCAGGATCTACCCAGCTGGGTGGAGAACAGACTCCTCCAACTACAGCCCTGTGGAGATGTGGAACGGGGGCTGCCAGATTGGTATGGGCTAGCTGGGGGTTTCAGACATGAGGCCGGGGCTCGGAGCCTCGAAGGCGCTGGATGGAGATCCTAGGATCAGATGTAGGGGCTGTGGAGCTGGTGACCTCACTTTGGAAATACCTTCCCACCAGCAGGTCACAGTATCCGAATTCCATTAGCACTCTAGCCTTTGAATTCTGACAGCAGAAATGGAATATGTGGGCTGGGCACCTGCAGCTTAAGTGGCTAAGGCACCAGCCACATACACCAGAGCTGGCAGGTTCAAATCCAGCCTGGGCCTGCCAAACAACAATGACAACTGCAACCAAAAAATAGCTGGGCATTGTGGCGGGTGCCTGTAGTCCCAGCTACTTGGGAGGCTGAAGCAAGAGAATCACTTAAGCCCAAGAGTTGGAGGTTGCTGTGAGCTATGATGCCACCGCACTCTACCCAGGGTGACAGCTTGAGGCTCTGTCTCAAAAAAAAAGAAATGGAATAGGTGGTTGGTGTGGTGAGTCCCTTAGGGTGGCAGGCAGGCAGTAGGCATTGAGTGATAGCTGGCCCCTCCTTCTAATTCACTGTGTGACCCTAGGCTTCAGTGTTCCCTAACCAGGCTAGACTCTGAGGCCTCAAGGCCAGCCCACAGCCTGTGACTGCTCTGTTTTGCTTGCAGTGGCCTTGAACTTCCAGACACCTGGGCCAGAGATGGATGTGTACCAGGGCCGCTTCCAGGACAATGGAGGCTGTGGCTACGTGCTGAAGCCCACCTTCCTGAGAGACCCTAACTCTACCTTCAACTCACGGGCCCTGACTCAGGGGCCCTGGTGGGCTCGGAAGCGGCTCAATATCAGGGTATGACTAGCCACAGGAGGGACAGGTGCCCATGGGCCTTCCCCACCCCCCTCCCACCATTCCTGAACCTTTAATTGTCCCCTCCCTTTCCTCAGGTCATCTCGGGGCAGCAGCTGCCAAAAGTCAACAAGAATAAAAATTCCATTGTAGACCCCAAGGTGACAGTGGAGATCTATGGCGTGAGCCGGGACGTGGCCAGTGGCCAGACTCCTGTGGTCACCAATAACGGTATGTGTGGGGACTGGGCTGGGCACAGCTCCAAGAACTGGTGTCCATGAAGCTAATATGGCACTTGTGCCCCTAGGTTTCAAGCCGTGGTGGAACACAGAGTTCGAGTTTGAGGTGGTTGTGCCTGAGCTTGCACTTGTCCGCTTTGTGGTGGAGGATTATGATGCCTCCTCCAAGAACGACTTCATTGGCCAGAGCACTATCCCCTTGAACAGCCTTAAGCAGGGTGAGTCAGTGTTGAGGGGAGGGGACAGCCAGGATTGTGGGAGGCAGGGCCTGGCATCTCTTGGGCCAGCTGTCCTTTGCAGCATCCCGAGTGACTGAAATGCTTTGTGTGCTCCTTTCTGCCCATCTGCTTGCCAGGATACCGCCACGTCCACCTCTTGTCTAAGAATGGAGACCAGCATCCATCAGCCACCCTCTTCGTGAAGATCTCCCTCCAGGACTAAGCTGGGGGTCGTGTGGGGTCTGCCATGAATGGGCCCTTTGTGCACGCCTGGGGGCAGGGCTGGTGTGGCTCCCAGCCTTTCAGTCACAGCTAGAGGCCCCTGAACTCTTCAGCTCTGGACTATTGCCTGTGCTGCTGCCTCTCTGGGGACGAGGAGATGGCCCAGTCCCTGAAGCTGTCCTCAATTCCGTTAGGAACAACACTGCAGCCCTCTCCACCCTCTGGCCAGCCTAGGTCGAGGGCTTTTATAAAAATCACGATTAGATCCCCTGTGAAGCACGTGTATATGTGTCCCAGAGCACTGGACCCCAGCACTTCACTCTGTACTTCCCCACACAAATACTGGAGTGGGGTAGAGTGTTTGGAGAGACCAGCAAGAAACAAATACCTTCATGGGTGAGGATACAGAGGGCTTAGTCCTTCTGGAGTGTCACAGACCACGTTCTCTGGCCTGAAGGCCCCCTCCTCCTGACAGGTGGGCCCACTGAACAACCCAGCTTGAAAGCACACATACCACACCTTGTGTGGGCTGCCAGATTTTATTGACAAGAGGAGGGTGCCCTAGGAGCCTTCCAAAGGGCTGTAAGCAAGGTCTCCCCAGCGCTATAGGAGTGAGGGGGTCCAATCTGGGGTTTCGGCCACGTGGGTGGCATAGGCAGAGGGCCTGGGTTCAGAAGAAACCCAGCCGCTTTTTCTCCTGCTGCTGCTTCCACTTGGCCATGCTGTAGAATTCTTCCTTGGATTTCCCAAAGATATCTTGGAAGTCAGAGTCTGAGAGATAGAACTGGGGGCATTGGGGGTACAGGAGAGTGTGTCATTAGAGCGCAAAATCCTGTCCCACTCAGAAGTGTCATCCAGAGTTGGATTCTCTCACTTCTGTCTGCCCACTATCCCATGCAGAACATGCCTGTCCCCCAAGGCAGCCTGTCTGCTACCCCCCACCAATGGCTCTTGGCTTAGGTTCTTCCAGCTCAGTCTTAGGTGTTATCAGTGCTGGGGCAGTGAGTGGTAGGGGTCTCAGGCACCCACCTCCTTGCGTGCAGGGTCCACACCTTCTGGCAGGTCTTCAGCAGCCTGGTGTGCCAGTAGTTCTCGGGGCAGGCCCCCACTGCTTACTGGGCTGGTGCTGCTGATGTTGGTGCTGGTGCTATTGGCACCCACCTTGGGGCCCAGTGCCAGCTCACTCTCTGAGCTGTCCTGGGAGCCCTTAAGGGCCTTCTGGGTCGAGGGACCTGCCCTGCCATCACCCGGCCTTCTGGATAGCTGGAAGTTGTTGACTTCCTATCCAGAGACGGGCCTCAGGCTGGGGAAGATGAACAGGCAGCCCACCAGGAGGCCACACTGAACCCTTGTCTTCACTGTAAACTTTCCCTCCTACCAGGGCTGTCCCCTTTCCCTGTCCTTCCTGGACCATGCCGTGGGTGCCCAGACCACTGTGGGGAAAACCCAGGGGCCCCGATACTCACTGCTGTTATCTCAGAGACAGCCAGTGCAGCTCCCAGGCTGTTCTCCACCACCTCCTCGTAAGACTGGTGGTTCTGGGAGCAGAGTAAGGGCAAGGATCAGAGCTAGGGCAAGGTGAGGGGGCATGGCTAGGACTCAGGAGAGGCCTGAACACAAGAACAGGCCTTCTTCACATACACACTGGCCATCCACAGCCTCTCCTTTTTTTGGCCCAGGAAAGACTGCAAATTAAGGTGGGGCTGGGGACTTTGGCCTTACTCACGGTCCACTTGTACGGGTCCCAAGTGAAGAACCACCCAGCAAAGGTAGGAGGCTCATGGCCCTGCTTGACTAGCACAATGGGTGTGGCCGGGCTCCTCCCAGCTGGATGGGTCTCCAGGTATTCTCGGCCCCAGGCCACTGCCGCTTTCCTCCACTCACTTGTAGCTTCTCCCAGCCACAGGAAGATCTACACCACAGAAGGGGCATGGTCTTGGGCAGGTGGGGGAGCCAACAGAGCTGGCTACCTCCTACTCACTCCCTGTCTGCTAGATGTCTCAGAGCCCCACATGCATAACCCTGGGCAACCAGACACACACCCAGCAAGCCACCATACCCCCATACACATAAACATGCAGGAAAGTCACAGGCATACATGCATACCTTCAGGCTACACATATTTATTGAATACCTATTGTTTGGTAAGCACTTGTCTAAACATTGGGAATTCAACAATAAATAGATAAGTTTATGTGTATGTGTTGGGGGGGGCGGGGGGAATGTTCTAACCAGAAGAAAGAACCATTGCAAAGGCCCTGGGGCAGCTGCGTGCCTGGCATGTGCAGGGAACACAGGGGGATGTTGTGGCTAGAGTAGAAACAGCAAGGGGCAAGCAGGAGACATTAGGTCAGAGCTGGGGCTGGCCAGGTCACACGGGGCTAGGGAAAGGGCTCTGCTTTTTTTTCTGAGAGAGATGGGAGCCCAGAGCCTTACCATCAATTCATAAAGTGCCATGGACATGGCCCTGCATGTACACAGTGATGCAGAGACAAGCATTATTACAGACACAGCTACACAGACATGCAATCGCCACACATTGGCATCCACTGTTAAACACACAGCTGCACAGACCCAGCCATCTCTATGGTGGCACACAGCCCCTCAAAAATGTGACTGCACAGACATGCAAACACAGTTGCTATCTTTCACCCAATCTCACCAGTTACAACTGGTCTGGCCAGTCTTAGCATGTGACCTCTGTGTGACCTCTCAGTCATTGGCCTGGTCAGTCTGTCAAAGAGCCATGAACACAGGGAAAAGTGTACAGGCACCCACAGTCAGCACACACACGTCACTCAACACCACCAATACGTGTCCAGCCACAGGCTTTCAGTCCCTGGTGTCACCCATACCATCATCATAAGGTAGACAGAGTGACACACAACTACATGGACACAGTCACTGTGAGTTCCAGCACACAGTCACAGTCTCCAGCAGTCTCACACCATCACAGGGTGACACACTCATCCATGGTCTCATATCAACAGCCACACAATTACACAGTGTCACCTGTATAGTGACATAGTCAATAGTCACAGAGACTCACCCATGGCCTATGTACAGAATCACAAATAATACACACACCTAGTTACACAAACAGGGACACACACCCCTTCACACCATAGCCAGGCAGGGGTGGCCACTGTACCTCCTGCCAGGTATCCAGTAACATGACATCATACTTGTCCAGGTCCTCTTGACTAAAGAACACCACTTCCGTGAGGACCAGGCAGCCCATCTGGCTGGAGCACTCAAACAGTCGAGGCTGGAAGCTGTAGCCCTTCTCAGGGAGCCTGGTCAGCATAGATAGCAGGCTGGGAGGGGGACTGAGTGCCACCCACCCTCTAATTCACTCCAGGAGCACTCTGCTCCTCTCTGGGCCACAGAGCCCCTTCTGTCCATGAAGAAAGCAGTTAGTCCCACTAGCTGTGACACAAGCTGCCCCTTGAATTTCCCAGGAGAAGCCCTTAGGGTTAGGGGAGAGCGGGCTCTGTGGGAGGGCCTGAGCTGGAGTCTCACCCTCCCCGGGATGGGAGGAAGGAAGCCAGGCTGGGGGAAGTAGTACTGAGTAGTACTGAGTTCAAGGGACTTGGGGAGGCTGTGCAGCACAGAAACCAGGCCCTGCAGACAGACCAGGAACAACCTGGGTCTCAACTTCCTCCTCCCTCTGCAGCCTCACTCTGTCCTACCCTTATACACACCTGCACACACACACATATCACACTAGACACACCTGTTCTCCATGCCACCTGTGCCCAGTGCCATATGACATGTGTGACACTGTATGATCACACACCAGGCACCAAGACCCCTGGGAATTAAGTGCTTCGTCCACTTGACCAAGACAGGGACAATGCAGGGAGAGGATTCTGTCAGCAGAGGGCACCACTGCCCCAGCTCTCCTGGGCATCTTCCTGACAGTTACCCAATGCCAGGAGTGAGTGAGAGCCCCTAGGGCTGAGGGGTCAGGAGGCCTCACTTCAACTCTTAAGTCTCCAGCTTTCTGTGTGAACTAGTCATCCATCCTCTTGGGGCCTCAGTTCCATACTCTTTTCTCAGCCTGTTACCTCTTGATGCTGGGGTAGGGAGCCCGGCCTCCCAGGGCCGCCCAGAAGTGGGCAGGCTCTTGACCTTCTAGCACTGTTTCCATGTTCTTCCCAGAGATGGCAGTGACCACCACCCGTGCCATCTCACGCTGGTCACCATTACAGCCCTGGCAGGCAAAGAACTAGGTCAGGCCCTGCTTGGGGAGGGGTCTTCACCTGCAATCCCACATCCTGCTTATCAGGGTCTATGCTGGTGGTGGGACACACATGAATAAGGGCTTTCTCTTCCTCACCCCCATACTCCCCACAGCTGGTCAGGGTCACAGGGTCTGGGACCCTTCCTGAGTCTAGAGCATGGGATGGGATCTTCAGAGTTAGGGGGTCATTCATAGTTTATGCTAAAAATTAGAGAAAACTTCAGAAAACTGGACTAGACCTACCTTTTCCCAAGAGACTTGGGAAGGGACATGCTCCCTGCTCAAGGCAGTAAGAAGTGGTGGCAACCTGGGCTTGGCTTGGCTCTGTTTGGTGGACTCTTCCATGCCCACCTGCCACTTTGGTTTTATAAATTTTTAATATTTTTAACTTTTTTTTAGAAACAGAGCCTTACTCTGTTGCCCAGGCCAGAGTACAGTGGTGTGATCATAGCTTACTGCAGCTTCTTGATCCTCCAGTCTCAGCCTCCCAAATAGGTAGGTCTATAGGCACGTGGCATCATGTCCAGCCCATATGGCACTTTGTAACTTTCCCTAGGTTCCAAAGGGGACATGGTAGCTTCTTGCCTCCTCCCACTGCTCTATCTGAGGCTGAACTTGCAGTCTGCATTCCTTCTGGAGGTCACTCATCCCCAGCCTGGCACACCCTACTCTAGGGTGTGAGTCAGTGGCCAGTGCTATGGATACCTTCCCAAACCAAAGGTAGCAGACGCTGACTGTGACCAGCAAGAAGATGTCACTGGAGTTGAGAGATGAGGCACGTGCTGCCACTTCCATGGTTCTGGTATTGTGGCTGTCGGTGCCCTGAACGTGGAAGAGCCTTGCGGTGCATGCTGGCTGCCCGTGTCCCTTGTGCCTGGTGTTCCCCTACAAGAGGGCTGGGCCTCAGGCTGAGGTAAGGGCTCCTGGGGGCCACCTCCCTGTCCCAGTGGGGGATAAACTCTCTCAGGACTCAGGGACCCTCGCCTAAAGCTATCATCTTCTGGACACTCTGAGTGTAGATTGTGGGGATCCTATTGGGCTAGGATAGGGAAGGAGGCTCTTTCTAACTGGACCCCCACCCCATCTTGAGGGGAGGGGTATGGTTGTCCAGGCCTTGAAGGTGGAAAGTGGGGACTGGCTTTGGCTGTGTGACTTCAGACAGGGCCTTGACTCCCTTTTGACTCAACTTCCTTCCCTGGCTCTGGGACCAAGGCAGGGGGCACCAAGTTGGGCCCTGGGCCTATAGGGATGCTTAGAAAGGGCCATGGGTATTGAAGGGCCATGGGTATTATTGAAGCTACTGCTATGGCAGTAAGGAGGACCCTACCTGAAAGACCACCAGGTGTCCATGAAAGATGGCAAGGAAGTGGGGGGGCTCACTGCCCATGGTCACGTGCACCTGCACCAGGGCTCCACTGTACATGACATCCAGCTCTTCAGCATTGCAGTTCATGGCCTTGATCTCATCTGCGGAGGCTTGATGGCCCTAAGGGGTGGGGGCAGTGAGGGCCTGGTATAGCTCTCACATCCCACTCTCAGATCCTGGGTCCTGGACTTTAAGATATGCTCCCTACCCCCACCCCCTGGCCTGCACACCTGCCAGAGGTACAGGACGTACTGGACACGGCCCAGCTTGTGGTATGTGTAGAGGATGAGGTAGCAATTGCCTATGCACAACTGTCCATGATGCTTGGGATCCACAGGCTGCCTGCGTAAGTCCTGGATGCACCACATCTAGGGAGCAGGGAGATAATAGGCACAGGTGGTTCTTCTAACCATTCTACACCCAGCCAGAAAGCTCTTCTCTGCCTCTGAGGCATTCATCATCTGTGCAGGTGAGGGGCTTACCCTCAGCTCTGTGCCCACCCAGCTTCATGTGGGTCTTATGCAAGCATCTACAGGTGAGTCTTTTTCCCGTGGACCCCTGAAACCCACAGCACTGGCACCAGCCAGGACTCTGAGTTTGCATGTGGCACCTGGGTAAAGAGTGATGAGGACTCTACAAGCTGCTGAGATGTATCCAACACCTGTCACGTGCCCACCCCCAACCCAACCCAGCTGCAGCTCTGGGAGGGGAGACAGGTCCTTTCATAGCTGCTCACTGCTCAGGCCAAGGCAGCACAAGTGAGGCAGAAAGTAATGCCTTGGAGCTCTTGGAAAAATTCCATCTTCGGCTCGGCGCCTGTGGCTCAGCGGCTAAGGCGCCAGCCACATACACCTAAGGTGGTGGGTTCGAATCCCCAGCCCGGG